TCTCTCTCTCTCTCTCTCTCTCTCTCTCTCTCTCTCTCTCTCTCTCTCTCTCTATGCACACATTATGAAGCAAAAAAAGATTGAAGCTATAGAGAACCATTCGTCTTCTCGAAATCGAGAGGGTGAAGACGAAGAAGAAGAAGACAAAGAAAAATTTAAAGTTTCGTGCTGGGGATTTTTCAAAGAAATGTTTTCGTTGTTGTCATTGAGAAATCGAACAAATCGAAAACTGCCGGCTGGCAACTTCAGATATAGTCCATTGAGTTATGCTCAAAACTTTGATGAAGGTAACAATGAAGACGACTCTTACGGGAGTTTTTCCTCTAGGTATGCTGCTCCTTCGTCAAGTTTCAATGTCGATACCAAAAATGATTAATTTGTGCATACAATTGCATGCTTTTACTAGATACATAAAACCCGATTTTCGATATGGTTGTTAATTGAGAAATCTCTACTTGTGTATATGCTATTCGATAAATGTATATTCGTTTACTATTTCCTTTGTTCTTGCATAAATATCAAAACCATTAATGCACGCAATTTACAATTATTGATATATACTATATGAATGGTAGGAGATACAATCAATGTATCCTAACAGAATATGCCTTCTGGCTCTTTTCTTCGATTATGATTTGCTCCATTTTTCTCTTCTTTTTTCCTAAAATATTCATGGGGTGTTCTCAACAAAGATTTTAATGAATTTTGTGGATATGAATAGATTCTTACAAATTCTATTAAATCTCATCAAATATGGTGAAATTTCAAAAGATTTGCTTATATGTATTTTTAAGTTTGAAATCCATCCAACTCTTTTAAAATTCTTTAACTAATGAAATTTTTATAAATCCATTAATTATTAACGACTCTAAATTTTAAAGAATTTTATTAAAATCTCAATTAAGGACTCCTAAATTTTAATGAATTTCATTAAAATTTAATAAAATCTCAATTAAGAACACCTAAATTTAGAATAACTTTTAACATTCATCACAATCTCAATTGAGGACATCTCCTTCTATATCATGAAAATTAACTACAATAATATGCAAGAACCTTCAACCAAGATTTGTTTTCAATTTCATTTATTTCAGTGGCGATGATATTATGAACAACGTCGTGTAGCACCAGTTTAAATTGGAAATTACTGTTTCATCGAATATGAACAACGTTGTGTGGCACCAGTTTAAACTGTTTCATTATTCTAATATTATAGAAATTCATAGGCTTAATTTCGAAAGAATATTGTGAGGTAGCATCATCTTACATGAAATAGTAGTGCGAAAGTTCAGTTTTTTTCCCCCATTTGACAGTCTAAAAATGTATATGCTAGATGAATGTGTCTCTCTCTCTCTCAAAACTTAACGTACATATAATTATTTTAAAGGTCCTTGGCATCTACTTAGAAAGGTGAAGCCTCAAAAACACAAAAGGTAATAAAAATAAAATAAAATTGGAGTGAGTGCCCCCACTGCCCCACTGGTCCCTAGTTGGCTGTGTCCCTACTCTTGAAGTAGTGATGGAGCCACCTATGGTGATTGGAAGTCAGCCTCTATATGCTTCGTGGGGACAAGAGACTGGGGTTGGGATCGAGGGCGACCACGAGGGATTAGGGATTAGGGTTGGAGTGGCACGGAAGCTGAGGACTAAAGGGTGGCTAGGGGCGGTTTTGCTTTATATATATATATATATTTGCCCTTCTTCATCTCTTTTTTATTAGGTTTCACTTAATTACCGGAACCAAATTCAAATTAGAACTGTGGATTACAATTCTGATTCGATTCCATTCATAACATATTTGTTAAAAAACTGTGAGGAAAATTTTGTTCTCCTTCTTGTTCGTGTTCGTAGATTTCAACTCTTGACGTTTAGTATGTAAATTAAGAATGTTTCTTTAGTGAGAGGATTAAGATTGCCAAGACATTGGCCGAATCAATGGTATGAAGCATACGAATATCTTTGAACCTTCTTAATTCTTAAAGAAGTCAAATATTAGCGTCTTTTAATTTTTCCTTCCGACAAACATGATACTTACTCTTCTTGAATAGGTATGAGATGATCAACAGGACTGAACACGAGATAAAATAACGAAAAAAAAAAAAAAAAAAAAAAAAAAAAACTGAAATAGTCCGAGGCCACCACCATGACCTGACCCACCGCCTACACCATCTCCTTCACCACCAAATCTACCAATTCAACTTGAGCAATGGAAGAAGACAATGTTGGAGGCCAAGGAGGAATCTACTTCATCTGCCTCTCCTCCACCACAACCACCTTCATGTCTCTGGCATAAAAGCAAACTTACCTATTTGTATTGAGGCAACAAGTAAAAACATTAGGCAAAGCAGGATAAACACATAGCACACGAGGAACGGTGACGGAGGAGCGACACCAATCTACGAGGTAGGCTCCGAAGTTTGGAGGTGGAACAGCATCGAAAAATAGGTGGAGACCGCTGGCACAAAGTACATATATTCGGAGGATGATGAAATGTCTCTCTCGTAATGTAGTGGGGGTATACCTGATTTTTGAAAAAAAAAAATAATAATAATAATAATAATAATAATAATAATAATAATAAATAAAATAAAATTTGCTCTATTTATGAAATTGAAACATTTAAAGATAGATATAATTTCTAATATTCTCTTGGATAAATTTTAATTGAGAATATATGTATGAAATGTTAAAACTTGAAATTATCATTAATAATAACAAAGGTGAAAGATAAATCCCAAAAATTGGTGTCATATTCACCCCTTCAAACTTCAAAAAGGACATATAACAAGTGCTACTACAATACAAAACACCTAAAATTTGATATTTATACTTGCTCGTACACTGCACCTGCCTAGTGTTTTCAACTATTCCAACAGATAAACTATGTTTGCTGCTCTTGATTTTGATGTAGATTATGACGACGATGATTTTGGGGAGACGGGTGGTGTTGGCGTCTTTGCTGATGTTGGCGATGAAGTTCAACGCCACCATTTATATTCTGTCGGGAAGCCTGTTGACGACGACTTGCTTTCCATCGCAAATACTCCGCAAGAAGTGAATTAGTGCTAATTGCAATTCCAAACCCAGTGAAAGAAGAAAGCAACACGGACAGAATAGCATTTACTTTGAGCTGCATAGTATGATTCCCAAATTCCGAATATAAAATTAGATGGAATTAGCAGAACATATCCCGAAGGACAAAAAGGAAAATACAAAACAGAGAAAGGAACAGATTACAGAAAGAGGAAGTTTTACGTACCACAGAATAAAATATATGTGCAAATAGGATCACTATCGCAAATTGAAACGATGCGTAAGCCCATATGTAACTCTTGCTCACTGCCGAGTGCGACCAATCAGACAAGTCATTCTAGTTCTTAATCAAAACACTGGTCTTTAAAATGGTAATAACAAGAAAGTTAAAGAGAAAAGCAGAGATATATACTTGAGAACATAACAAATAGAGGAAGAGTTTAACTATTAAGAGAGAATTTGACTCCAGGATCATCTCGTGAAGATTTCGACTTTTCAAGATCAGTTTCCATTTTGATGTATAAATTTTTATTTCAAATTACTCTTGTAGCTCTATGTTTATGTACAAACCTGACAAATAAAACAAGCCCCATAAAGAAAATAAATTATAAACAATATAGAGCACAATGCATCTGATACAGACTTGTACTCGAATATTGTAGTTAAAATTGCAGTCACACGAATTTAATCAATAATCAGAGTTCAGGCTTAAAAAAATTTTGTTAATAAGATATTAAGCCCTTAAAACAAAACTCTCTTTTTCTTAAACTCATTTTTAACCACACATTCTCATAATAAAATATTTTGCACATAACTCAGAATTTTTCACTACTTTTTAACCACACAATCTCCAAAATCTCCCTATTCTAAAACCCATTTTCCCAAAAAAAAAACTCTGTTTGTCAAACAGAGGCTAAGTTGGTAATCCAAGACAAATTTGGCTAATACACATGCACATACGCCTTTGGATACAATCTACAACTTTGTTAACATGATCAAATTATGTCTGTGTTTTTCAATCATTAGGCTATCCTCTTTATTTTCAAAATTAAAATAAATAAATAAAAAATAAATCATATTTTTCAAAGCCAAAATCCACTAGAATCTCAATGTAGGAAACTTCATTTTAATGTTCCCAAAGTCTGTTTACATCAACCCTTTATGAATTTGAAGAATTGAAGAAGGCATGTAAAAGTTTCCCAGTCTCTCCATATATAATCTACAATGGAGGTGCAATTTTGTTTAGCAAAGTCAATGACTATGTTTCTTATACTCTTTAAGGAAAATGCATATTGCCTGTTAGCTTAAGGAAACCTACTAATTATCCTTTCAGGGTTTGAACACGAAACTTACACCACGTGTTTTCATAAACCCTACACATTTCCTCCTCCTTTCATTGGCTTGGTGATTAGTTTTTTTCCTTTGGAATGTTCATTATCTAGAATTTCATGGGCACAAGCTTTTCTATTACATATCCCATGGACATTTTTCACAAGATCTACGATTTCTAAAATCACGGGGGAAGATTCTCAATTCATTGTTTATGGTATTCCTTCAGATAGATTAAATAATGGGATTTACCATAAGAAAATATCTTATTTACAAAAGGTATAAAATTATAAAAGGAGGATAAATACTGTACTTAGTAAATGAGCACGGGAAATGAGAGCAATCTATTAAATTTACCCATAGTAGAAGATATCATGGATGAGAGAAGACCCAAAGCACAAGAGAAAGGCAAAGAGATGGCAAGAGCCCGAGGTCCCATGTCGGACACCTGTTTCAGTTTAAACCACTAAGGACAATGACAAGCATAAATCAAATTTAACAGTGAGATGCATACGCCACAATTGTAATCCACAACATTGTTTAGAAATTCTAGAAATATTCTTATTTATTTATATGCCCAGGCATGAAAAGGAAAGTAATTACGAAGAATTTCTGGAAAAGATAGTGTAGAATAAACAGCAAAGAAATACTTTTTGGGGCAAGAAGAGAATGAATGGAGTACACTTGGCAAAAAGGAGGCTGGGAAATTAGTCGGGGTGTGATCATCAGTACAAGTTCCATCTATCTAGTTGACATCTATAGCCTTTAGTCTATGCTATTATAAGTTTCCCTTCCTTCTTCACTCAATGACGATATAAAATCTCCACTGCTTAGCATGCTGCATCTACATTGGAATCTCTATGGTCTCTTTCAATCCTCTGTATTAGCAAGCCTTTCCCTCTTGCTGTATTACGAAGTGATGGTGTGCAAGTTTTCCTTTGGTCTTCACTTTTTCCTAAGGATATTGAGGCACTAAGATGATATTGTTAATAGCGTATGAGTTACGTTCAAAAATTCTAATATGTCATGCAAACATGAAAATTTCAAGAGATGACATCTAATGGGAATTTGCCTTTCAAAAATATTCATACTTTACGGTAATATCTCATGAAAACTGTGAAGATTTTACATCTCTTTTAGCGGTTGTCTCTGTAGTATGGACACTCTAACTAGGAAAACATGTCCGTATCTGACACGTGTCGATACCAACACTCTTAGAATACTCTATAATAATCATTTTTCTTTCTTACTGTAGCTATTATATATTTTACTCAAAATTGTTAATAAATAAAAAATAAGTATTCATATTTAAAAGATTTCAACAAGAAAAATCAATAATAAGTACAAAAATAAATTTATACTATATAAATGAAGAATTTTAAAGAATTTAATTAACGTGTCGATGACGTGTCGTATTGGTACTTTTTTTAAAAATCACAAGTCAACGTATC